AGCGACCCGGGTCCGCGGCTCCGCACCTCAGCGCGTGTTTTATTGGCAGACACGAGAATTAAACGACACCAGCCACGAGCTTGCCTCTGCCTAAAGACCGCGTCTCCCGTTAACGAGAGCGGAGCCGCTGCCTTCCGCGGGACCCAACGCACCGCTGCCCTCAGCGGCCGCCTCCGTACAGGCGTCGCACACACCCGGCACTCCGCTTTCCGAGGCAAAAAGACCAAAACGTAAAGCCGATCCAGCGCTCTCCAGTGCTCCAGGAAGCCATTTCTGTCCCAGTCAGCCCAGCACCTCCGTACACTTGTACCAAAGCCTTCGGGAGATTCCCGACAGCGGTGTTAGGAGATGAAGTGAGTCTGTGGGGTGATTTGTTCCAACTTGTGATCAGCTGGGTTTGCTGATGCTTCGTAATTGCAGATGGTGACTTCGTGGCGATGAGCCTGAGTTAAGATTAAACGTATTAGTCCAGAGGAGAGCAGAATTCAAGCCCCTCCTAAAACCCCTGACCGGCAAGAGCTGAGCAGGTTCCCAACTTACAGACTTTTCATCACAGACCTTCCATGCCCACCCCCACACTACCCTCACCTTCCTCACTGCTAGAGCACAACTTAAGCTACGATTTAAAGCCCCTTTCACACTATTAGCAGAGTCTTGCTTATCTCTGCTCTCACCCACCTCTGTCCACTCTCCCTTCAGACCTATATAAAAGATCTTCGTTGTCTCTGCTCCAAAGTTCTTCGGAAAGTGGATGGAGAGGTGGTAAACGTTGGAGAAACGGGCAATTCTGGAAGAAAACACACTCTGAAGCCGGAGCTGTGCGTACAAGCTGCCGCTCTGCTGCCTTGCCACCTCCTCTCAGCACGGCGCTGCGGCCCTGCACTGCACGTGGCCCCTGCCCTAATCCGAGTCAGACTTGGGAGCAAATGACTGAGGGTGCAGGAGGAGCAGCTCCCTTCACGCTTGTGGTAACGGGCCAGCAACAAGCTGTCGCTGGGGCCAGGAGCAGGGGACACCACACTGGGACGATTCTGCACCCTGAGAATTGCTGGGTGACAGGCACAGCCACCCCCCAGCTCCGGGGAGGAGGTTTTCAGACCAGAACTCTCACCTGACAAGGGCAGGATGGAGCCAGGGATGCAAATTCTAGTCTGGGCAGCTTTGAGATGCAAGGGAAGGAACTGCCCTCTGCTAACACTTTGCTAAACTTTGGCGGCACACCAGCAGGCTGGACAGAGCGCGGCTCCTGCGCTCAGGAGGAGTGGCCCCCGCACCCCCCAGGCGCGTGGGTCTGCATCGTACTTGGTGGCGTACTCCAGCTCGCCCGTCGGATCCCGGTTCAGGCTGAACGTCTGGTCCGGTTCCCTGGCTGCATCATCAAAGGACATGTGAGGAATGTTCCTGAACCTGGGAAGAGAGGGAGGAAACCCAGGAAGTTTTTAACGCACAGGTCAGCTAATTGGTTTCCTCCCCATCTATTAGCGCTACCCGGACTCTTCTCAACAACAAGAAACTGGATTTGCTTTGTTTTCTAAGGGGGAAAATACCAACGCCACCACAAAGCATCATCATGTTCCAGAATACCCAAAACTCTGAAGAAATAATAAGGAAGAGAGAGGAACAAGGCTGGGGAGATACAGATCTCAGCACCCTTGGGTACATGAAGAAACCCAGACCCCAGTATACTGGAGACCAAGGAAAATGGGGGCCCGATAAAGGTGTATTTCTTTCCACACAAGCAGGAACTACAGAGTACTCGATACTTTTTTTTTCTAAAAAAAAAGTAGTATTAAGAAGGCTCTCTCTCCCTTCAGGAGCTAAAACAGGCCACGTGGCTCTGTGCAGCCAGACCGCTGCCAAGAGCTGACAAACCTCACCTGGCTGCAGGACACCCCGTCACTTGTGTCCCCTCCTCCCAGGCCTCAGAGCTCCCCCCCAAAGCGCAACCCTTCTTGGCCCACCAATCCTTCTGCGGCCCGCTAAGCCAGGAGCAGGTTGATTTCTTCACAGCACAGCCAGCACCTCAACCAAATGTTCTCTTCTAATTAGAATTTCTCTAGAGAAAAGGCAGCAAGTAGCTACGCTCATCTCCGTACAAGTTACTGTTTCTTTTTCCTCCTGGGGCTGGAGAATGACTGAGGTGCTGCACAGTAACACTGCTTGCTCCCATGCTGCGCACCCTCGCTGGGTGCCTGGGCACCCAACAGTGGGAGAATCGCTGTTCTCGTTAGCTACGGGTCAATCGGTTTGGTTCACGCGCCAACAAAGTTAACGCTCATTTTACTTACAGCCTCATCTCTGCTGGATGCGTATCATCGTCTTCTCCCATCACAATTACTCCTTTTAACTTCACGTTGCCCGTAAACCTGCCAAGAGACACAGAATTGGCGTCTTCATCTCCATTCTCCCCAAATCAGCCCCGGTTACGGCGGCAGACGGATGTGCCTCGCTCCCGGGAACATAGAGGCAAGGAACAAGCCCTGCCAGCAGCCAAAACGATGCCAAAGGAGCTCGGGGAAAGAACTTACGGGATGTTAAACAGAAGCTCCTCGTCATCGTCACTTTCTACGAACTGAGGAGAGAGAGGGGCGGGTCAGGGCCGGCCCCG